ACATTCCACAAGTCCACTTACATGAATATGAAATGAAACAGGATCCAAATTTCACTAAAATATATCCTTACAGTTATTTATCTAATATCTTTCAGTTTGATAATTTGTTAACTCAAAGTTAAACTCTGACACTATAACTCATCAACAGCTTTCACTCTCTGTGAAGTATCACTATTCACTGGCAAATAGGTAAGCAACAGATTTCTTCCTCTCTCTCTCTATAAAAAAAGAGTGCATGAAGTTAGAATTGATTCAAGAATAGAGACCAAAATTTTCTGAATTGACTTGCAGCTAGAAAGGTTTCACCTAGAAACATGTTTAAAAGACTGAAATTTCAGAGATGTCTATATGCTCAAAACAACGTACCTTTGCCTGGCACAAAAACCTGAGACAGTTTGCAAGTAGTATATACTTTTATCTTGGTTCTTAGTAATTCAGATCACCCATCCCACAAATTCACTAGGTGGCACTGTACATCAAGCTGCAAGGATTGCTGCATGATCAGAAACTGTAGACCAGCTTAACAAGATACACCCTGAAGCACAGAGTATGTGCACATATTTGTAGCCTCACATAAATATTTTCTTACAATAAAGCTATTGGAAACTTCTATCTGAACCAATGATGATCTGTTTGTCAACGCAATTTGCAGTTTCTGGAAGAATGAAGTAACACTCAAAAGACTTAGTAAAAGCTACTTTATGTGATGTCTATGAAATTTGAAGTCATACATCTTTATGTAGGAATCACAATGTAATCATGAGGTGAATTACTCACACAAATAAGGACTATAAACAAGAAGCATCTGAAGAATCACATAATATAATAATACATTAGAAGCTCTTTAATTTAGGTAAGTATTTCAGAAATACTGCCTTGTAAAGATGTCAGTTGATGGGCTTAAATCCATGTCCAGCTAGCATGGTACTTAGGCACACTGATTTACACACACAGACCATCCCATACGAGAATTTCAGTAAATTCTTTAAGTCATGTTTGAAGATGATATTCAATTAAGGTCATGACACGAGAATTATGAACTGCATATTCATCCTCATAAGGAATAAAACAGAAAACTGAAATAAAGTCAAGTCCTTGGCTGGAGAGCTGTGAGACATCACTGTTTGATTTGCTAGTGTTTCTGGTCTCCTATATATAGTATTTGCAAAATGGCCATTATGTACCTTAAGAATAAATAATTTTATTTGCATAATACCACTAACCCATGAAGAAAGATGTATTCTTAGATCTGGAGGAAGTTCAAGAACCAGAGGCAGTATGGGCACAGGTCTGTTCAGGTCACTTGACCCTGATGAGGAAGCAGTATTTTTTCTAGTACTTGAGTATCTTGCAACTCATTCTATCATATGCATAGCATCTGCAAAACCACATTCTGATGCACAGGGAAACTTTATGGGGAAGGAAGGAATTGGGCATGTGAGTGATACTTACCTGCTTGGGGGCAATGATTTGAAAAGCAGAACGATACTATGAGAACATCCTTAGCAGGGAGGGTGACGAGTGCTGGCACTCGCAAGCAATTTGAACAATCAGAAGGTCCCTGAAATAACTGAACTGGTCACACTCATTCTGGCACCAATTCTGAGTAATACTTGCATAAAGAAATTCCCTGTAACCTGCAAATGGTGCAGCATCTTCCATTTCAAGCAAATTCACTCAAGTAAAGATCCTGAAGACATTCAACCGGACCTGTCAGTCAGAAGCTACTTTGTTCTTATGTTGTTATCCAACTCTAATGTAAGTCAAGATATTGTATACTTCAAAAGAGAGAAACAAAATAAGGCCATAAAGAAACTTTTTATATGGGCAGGTATTTTATCAAACTCACATTTGTACTTTTAAACTCCAAAGGAATTTTTTCTAAAACAAGGTCCTCTTTAAAGGCCAGTGTGTTATCCATGTTTTGCAAAAAGAAGACGACCAGCTAATCTATGGCTTTTCTTTACATTAAGCAAGTTTGCTTTCAGTTCTAATATAGGTTTTTATGTAAGGGAAGTGCTGTCTGTATTAAAAACTGCATCAAAGAAAGATTTAGAATGAATTCTTAGGAACCCATGGGGAAAAAAAAAAGTTGCAACGATATGGGAATTCTCTCAATATTAAAAAATAAAAGCACATAGTATGCAGTCATCATTTGGTGGTTTTCATTTTGTAAATATCTAGAATTTCTGTAAAAGGAAGTTATCTTCTATCCTAATTAGAAACTCACTATTTAATCTATGCTAAAGGTAGTTATGGAAATCTCATATTGCTAATGTTTCTTAGCTGAGATTAACATGTCAAGATTCTCAAATTTGGATTTCTTTAAACAGACAGAAGTGTACCTATACATATTTACAGCAGGAGCTGAAATGAAGTAGAGTTAATGCTTTTGCTTCCGTTTTGATCTTAGGGTCCCTCATACAATATAGTCAGAATACACATCACTAAACATTACAAAACAATTTGGGAGAAAGTAGCTACCTATTTATTAACAGGACTCCACCACAACCCTCTCCCAGTACCTAATTCTCAAAAAGACATATATACACACATTCCAGAAAAGCTGCATTCAGGCACAAATTACTTCTTTGAAAGCATGGTGGAAATAATCAGGTCTAGTTCTGAAACACAAGGCTGCTGACTGGATAAATGCTAGCAGATTTATGCATATTTCTCAAGCTAACAAACAAAAAGCCAAATGCTAAAATTGAAAAAAAAGAAAAAAAAAAGTTACACAAATTCAGCAAACTAAGTCACAAGCCAAGCACAAAAAAATTAAATCACCAAAAAATAGAAACCATTCTTCCACATGTGGCCATAAGGTGCTCAGCAACTACTCTGTCCAGGCTAATGCTACAGTTCTGTATCATTTTTGAAAATTCAGCTTAAAGAATTCATTCCTTTCTGCCCTTTACGCTATGCAGAATCTTTTTGTTCTCATTTTAAAAATAAATAAAAATACATTGCCAGTATCTGCTGGACAATGGCTAATCTCACTTGGACACATCCTTTAAATTAAATATTGAAGAGACAAAGACACCCAAATTAATTTTCAATGGCAATTTCTTACAAAAAGTAAGCTAATGCATTACCATTTAGTTACAAGACTCCTATCATGAGTCTGGCCCAAAGCCCACTAATGTGAATGGAAAATCTCACACTAACTTCAAAGGACTTGGGATCAGACCCTTTAATAACTACATGAAGAACATTCCATTTTCGGAGATGCAGTTACATAGCAGTGGTTAATAAAATCAATGTGTGTTTTTAGTGGTTGGAACTTTTTTTCAGGAAGGAGTTATACTGGGAAGCAAATAGATTCAACTGCTAAATAGACTATTAAAAAAAAAAAAAAAGCCAAAAAAAAAAAAAAGCTGAAGGTCATAAAGTGCCCAGGCCCTCAAGATATCAGAAGACTGGGAAGAACCCCATATTGCCTCTCTAATCTAATAGGGAAATCCTCACCATAGTAAGAATTCTCTAGGTCTCAAGCTGTACAGTTAATTTTAACGTAATCTTTTACAAAGCATTTAGAGATGAAATGCTCAGCTGGCGAGCAGTTACAGCCACTGAAGCTGGCCAGCGCTGGGCATTCAAAACGGATGGCTGCACTTCCTGCAAGTTCTGCCTTTGGCAGCAGGAGAAAGCTCTTCAGTGACTGTTTGCAGCGACAATGGTCGCTGTCACCTACTAATTAGAACCAAAGATTGCATTCACAAAGGATGAACAACATGTTACTTAAATTACACTCCTTAGTGAAAGGGTTATGAAAAATATATGCTATTTGCATACTTACAGAACTCATTCAGAGCAGATCCAATTTCTGAATAATAACACGGGTTACCTTTATTATATGAAATAATAATTAAATGAAAAAAAATAATGGAAACCCCATTCCCATATCTTTTCAGAAATTTCTGTATGGGTGTTCTTCCACATCCTTCAAATTAGACACTATCTTTTTTTTAATAAGTAAAAAAAAATAAAAAAAATAAAAAAATCACACACAAGTCTCAAGTCACCTGCAGGTTTGTACATCTTCAATCCTCTTTCCATTATTTCAAAAATGTCATTCGTTCTCTTTTTCTGAATTCAATTATTTCACAAAAAGCAAAGGAAATTGGCTAACGGACTATACAAAAATAAACTATTAAAACTGGCTGTGTAGAGTAAGGAAACAAAAACAATGAGAAAAATATTTTCCTCTGTAGTCGTTTTTCAGTAAGAAGAGTTTAATTTGTTTCTTGAACCAATGACAGACATAAAACTTCTGAAAGATTTTGACTGAGTTGATGCAATTGACTGAAATATGAACTGCATTTCTTTCTCTGTAGCCATTTGAAGTAACTACAAAATCTTGCAGAACAGTAACTGCACAAATTAATCTGGATAAAAAAAACCCTAATGCATTCTAAAGGCCAAATAACATTTAAATATATTTAAATATTAGTCTCACTCTTACTCGAATTATTAACCAAGTTCAGTTATACATTTAAAATGTACAATGTATTTTATGCTAGTTAAAATCTACAGCTGAAATTTACATTCTCTCACTGTCATGTTGCAGCTGGCAGTTAACACAAGACCTGATAACATTAAAAAAAACCAAAAAAACAGAGAGATAACTAAATGAAAAGAATATGCTATGCAGAGAGTAAAGCCAACTTACAATTTCTGTTTGTTAAAGACAATTAACAATGAGGCTGAATCGCAAGTTAAGTTGCTAATATCAGAGAAAAAACAGCACTACTGCCAAATCTTTAAAAAAAAATAAAATTAAAAGGCCGAGGATCTAAATGCAGGAAACATTTTTTCATTACCACTATGTTCAATAAACTTCTGTTTTACAGAAATAAAGATAACATAAAGCTAATATTCAGCAATCGGGTAACATTTCCTGCTAATGATGTGCAAAATAAAATCAAACTATCATTGTCAAATTGGAAAATGCACTTGCAACTGTGCAGAAAAGCAGCATCTTAATCCAGCATACTTACATTATTGCATTCTCCCAGGAAATATAGTGCAAATCCATCAGCTTTTGTAGCTGCCAAAGCAATAATAAAAAAAATAATTGTACTCACAGCAGGAAATCGAACTTACACAAGATCTCTGAGGTGAACCCACAGATTCAATTCCGCTTAGGACAAACATATAAAATTCTAAAGGTGAAGGTCTATTGCTGTGTCCCTTGAAACTTCCCAGACTCTACAAAGTTAGAGGTACAAAATAATTCTTGTTTTCCCCATTGTCATTTACTACATTCTAAAAGATAATTAGAAACAACCTCTTTATACATCTTATTCCAATGCCTAATGTTTGTAAATTCAAATTAATTCATAGACAGTATAGAAGTAACATCAGAAAACATATTTACAATATAATCAGCCAGATAATATTATAGTTCTCATAAGTAAACTAACAACCATTCATAGATGGTAAGCTGTATTTGTTCTTACCTTAAGATATAAAATTATGGGAAAATAAAACGTTGTAAATATTGCCATAAAAACATGTTTAAAAACAAACTGTTTCTAGTTTCTGCACCTGCTCCATATTAAAAACACCAACATACACTACAAAGTTTGCAGTTGTCAGATTTCTGCCAGATTCAGACTGTTGTATGAAATAGGGTAAAGTCCAGTGATCTTAAACTTCTGAGTTTAAGGAAACCAACCATCATAACTTATTGCTAAAATGAACACTCTCAAAATCAGAAGAGGGTACAGCAGTCAATGTTTTTTGACCCCGCTTTACACAACAGACTTTGGTACTTCATGTGTACGTCTGTCTGTCTTTTCAACAGTTAATAAACATTCTAACCAGTAAATATACATATCTGACACCCAGGCTTTATGAATGAAGACAAGAATCCATTCAGTACATTTCAGGGGAGTGATTATACTCATGTGTGATGAAATCAATTGTCTTTCTGCATTTCTTTGACAAAAGGAAAAAAAAAATCCCACTGTGTAGTTATTTGTTTATTGCCAACTGTGTAACAGCAGTGAGAGTTCAGAACACTCTAATTTGCATTCAGATTTTAAAACTTTCAGCTGTAGTATGTAAGCACATTGAGTTACAAGGCAAATGAGCCCTGTAAAGGAAATACATATATAAAAAAGATCTTATCTGCTTTACAAAAGAAAAAATTGTAAAAGATAAGCAGACACTGTCTCCTATAGCTTCTCACTTGCTGTGTATTAACAAAATCCAGTCTGAATTGCTGTGAGCTTGACATCAATATTCAAATAACCACTTAAGCAAAATCAGTAAACAGAAGTGGTCCTTTTAAAACGTCATGTATATAAACCAGAACCATTACTCATCATTACAAAATGACAAAGTAGCAGGATGGGTAAAACCTTTCTAAAGAGTTGAATGAAAGCTATACTGAACAAAGCTACTGGTACTTCCTATTGAAGTCTGAGTGCATCCACTCTGGCTAAAAGAATCTGAATTACACTTATATTATTATTGGGAATTTTTTTGTCTTATTTTTTAACTTCTGATCTTGTATAGTATTTTGTTACCACAAAAAGTACATCAGATAGAAAAAAAAACAGTTAAACAACTGAATGTACTTTGAGATCACACAAAAGATACGCCCTCTTTCAGTTACTTCTTGGTTTGTTTCAAAAGGAGTCCAAGTATGCAGTGATATCACTGATAGATTTATTATTTCATTTTTTTTTTTTTTACTTTCAATATTGACATTGCAACACTATCATAACCAGAATAGTCTATTCCTAGGTTCACTTAACAGGGAACTCTAATTTTGCAATTGGATACACAACTCTCTCCAAAGTTGAAATTCACTTAAGTGCAGTCAGGGATTCATTGAGAGACAGAAGGCAAAGTTCATACTGAGATAATATCCAAAGAAAACACTATTATAGCTCAATATCTGTCTTTATTAATTAAACCACATAAGAGAAGTGCTGTGCACTGATACTAAGTAACAGATCAGAGACATCCGATTCTCTTTCTTACCTATTTTAATGATGCTACTCAGTTCATACAGAAGTAGTTGGTTATCTCCTCCTGTATCCAGGCGCTGTTCTATGTAGCTGTTCAATTCGTACACTACACCTTGCATATTCGTATCCTGGTACTACGGAAGCAAAGACAAGAAGAAAATTTCAGAATAACTCGGATTTACTTTGCAGGCTTTAAACACATACATTCATTAAAAATAATAGAGATTTCAATACCAAGTCCATCGCGACTGTCCTAATCCAGCTGCCTGAAGAACTGGGTCACTGCCAACAAAGAAGTGCAGCACTCCTCTCTATGCTCCATTAGACATTGAAGGTGTACTGAGTACACCACTGAGATAGTAATCGCCTAAACTTGGCCAAGGTCACATGATAATGTCTCAAGAAGAAGCTGAGATGCAACAATTATAAGGTAAGTAATATTCAACTCCCTCCCTATAAGCTCCTACTCCACCACAAAAAGAAAGCAAACAACTGCCTTTGCCAGCATCTTCCACCTCAAATTCATGAACCAAACAACAGAACCGTGCCAAGCACCAGAGCTTTGATGCAGTAGCTCAAGGAACCCAGCCTTTCAAATACAGCAGATATTAACACCAATAGACTGAAGGATAGAAATCGCATGAGTCAAAATCATGCTAGTCACTGTGGCCTAATAGGCATTTGTTTCATCTGAAGATAGCAGACAAAACCAGAAAGAGATTACAAATAAGTTAGGATATTTAGATGGGAGCAATAGGGTGCTGGTAAGATGAAAGAGCATGACATGGCTACCATCTCATAGGAAAGGAGAGGCAGCCTCTCTTCAGGGGCCCAGCTGCGTTTGGCTTATCCAGCTTCCAAGTCCTGAAACCAAGTCCTAAAGGGCTGATAAAACTGGCAGCAAGTGTGCGTGTGTAGCATGACAGCATCACGAACAATGACTTCACAGAAAGCAATACTTGGCAGTAAGCAAAGATTCATTTCCCTGCCCAAAACTGGTAATGTGGTAACTGAAGAAAATAATATAGTCAATTACTTATGGAACTCAGTGATGCAGTAAATTATGTTGCTTAAACTAAAAATGAAGCTGGTGATATTTAGATGAATTAATGTTGCTTGAAAGACTAAGACTTATTATCCTGCTCATTCATACTTTAGAGCCAAATGTAATAGAGATCAGACTAATGTAAACAGTACTATGGAAAATAACAAAAAAGTTTAGAGTACCACAGTCTGCTCACCATTCCCACATTTATGTGTACATACGTAACTCTGGTCCATATCTCTGTAGATCTTCTCTGTCTGTAACTTTGAGTAAAGCTGTACATGTGACACTCACTGATGGATTAAGCATCATTAATATATTCCACGATATAATTTTTATTCCCACTATTACTTTAATGCATTTCTACGTACAACACACTATGTCATGAATAAAGAGCATACAGCTATATATTTAGGATACATTTGGCTTTTTCATCTCAAAAAAACCCCCAACAAACTCCACCAACAAAACCCCCAAGTACTTCCTGGATAATATCAATAGCCAATTCCTTTAAATTTATCAGACCTTAATCTTGACCTTAAAACAGCTCCCGAGAACATACAATCTTTGCCATGACCCCTTCTTAACACAAGGTTTTCTCTTAATCTATTGTTTCAGATGGACATATTAGAACACTTAAGACCTAGGGTGTCCAAAATGTTCTCAATGTATAAGAAACTTAACACTTAATAATTCTTCCTATAAATTGATGTGACAATTATAAATTTTGACAGCGCTGTAAGGTCACAGTGCATACATGCATCAACTGCTGTAAGTCAGGAGTTTACAATGCAGCATGCCATTACCATTATTAGCACCGTATGGCAGCTGGCAAGCTTCCATTGACTGTCCTCTGTTGTGTCCCACATTTACTACCATATGATTCGTCAAAGGGAAAAAACAATAACATAGTTTCATGAAAGTAGAATTTTTATGCTTACGATATAGCTGTAAGTAGCCATATAACAGGAAAATGATGAATGAGAGTCTATATTAATGTATTAACCCATATCTGTAAAAGTATGTGTAGCTACATATCCTAAAGCAACAAAAGCTAATCCAGCACACACACATAAAGCCTGTATGTGGAAAAAAGCCAGAACTTGGAAATGAATACATGTCTCTTCACCTGTGATGCACAGTCAGGATTTAAACCAAATCTTCAAATGTTAAAGCTAATACACTATGAGAACACATCATCAAAATGAGCCCACTGGTATAACAGCCATGGCAGAATAATAACTTTCCCCATAATCAAGCAGCAGTTCTGCCTGCATAGTAATTACATAATAAGCTATGTGCCCTTTATCCTCACCTCTGCAACACATGCTTGCAAACGTTTTGTAAGCAGGGCAAATCACTGCATGCATACGTGTCACTAAAAAGATGTTAGATGCATAATACGTGCAGTTGTAATACAGCAGATTTCTATTACTGACAATCTGTGGATCCACAACTGGCCAGATGAATAAAATTTGTCCAGATTCACAATTAAGTAATTCTATAACTTAGATCAATCAGCAGCAAAGAATTACTCCGTCATGCTGTAAAATGGTTTTATTTTTATTACAGTGGAATGAAAGAGGTTTATTTATTTGGTTCTGGGCATTTTAGATTGGATAACCACAATTATGTTTGGTTGAAAAGCCACAATATTCTTTATGAAACCATGTATTTAAACACTGAATAAGTCATCAGCAAACCTTGGTACAAGCACTTTCCAACGCGGTTGCTAAGACAGACCTGTGCATATTTAGTGTAAAACGTACTCAACTCTTTTTACTTCATTCTTCCCATTGCTGCTTTCCTTCTATTTAAGATTCAGTGCCTACAAGTAATTTTGGCATATTTACTCTAAAATTCTGAATTTTAGTGGCATTACATTAAAATAATTCAAGTGGACTAAAAACTGGTTTAGCACTATTATACCACTGGCATCATACTTCTAGTAGCTGCTTATATTATGATGCTATGAAAAAGAATTAACAATTAAGAAGGGAAATCCTGTTCTAAATATTCATATTCAAATTTGTAAACATGAAAGGGTATTTTTGCAGGATTTATATAAAAATATTTTATACAGTTATTTGTCTTTAGAATATTGTGGTGCTAAAGAAGTCAGCAACCTATGACAGTTGATTTAACAATAGTCCTGTGACTTAGATCTAAACAAAGAGACTAAGAATCACAAGCATTTTATTCCATGAAAGGAGATACTGAAATATCAGTGAGATGAATTTTAAGCACTCATTCTGAACAATTAAGATACAAAGAAAAAAATATTCAAGGACACAATTTAATATCTAAAGTAAATTTTATGTATGACAAACTGAAAAGATTAATTTTCATGCTTATAGGGTAGCTGTGCCAGGGGCATTTTATGCTCCTGCAGATGAGAAAAAGCCCTTCTGCTGCAACAAAAAGCCTTCATTAATACAGCACAGGGTCAGTAAGTGCCAACATAATCCAGAAGTTGATCTGTTTTCTTTGTAACTTCTTAAAATGTCATCTGAATAACAATGAGAAGAGCAAGTTCCGATGTAATACTTCCTCCTTACCACAAAGTTCTTTCTCCACAGCAACAAGAGCTTCTGCAACAGAAACACGACCTTTTACAGACCTCACAGCATATAACATTACCACAGGTTAGGAGGAGTTAGAATAAACAAACAGCTCAAACTCCATGCAAAGTGGAGAGAGATGGCCAAACATACTTTGGGGATGCGGAACTTTGTTGGATGAGGAAAACAAAAACAAAAAACAAACCATGAAAGCCACAAAACGCAGGGGAAAGTGGCCACATCCAGAGAGGGCTAGGAGGGCCAGAGAAGCACCACCTTCTGGGACGTGGCTGTATACTCCTTGTTCCTTACAGGCTGGATGGGGGAGGACAGCACAGGTGTTATGCCCAAGAAAAAGAAGGTGCTGACCTGTCATATCAGTGTCCTTCTGAGACTTTTGGGAAAGCAAGGACAATTTTTCTAGCAAACATCAAGCATTTTCCTTAAAACTTTTCAAGGCTCCTTACCCACCCTTTCAAGTACTATCAGACTGAAATGTAGCGAGGCCTGGGGAAGCAGTATGGATCTTCATAATCAGGGCTTCCTGTCCAGCCCCTGACGGCATCCCAGGCTTCCCCTATTTTGTTTGCCAAGCATGAGGAGCTGGGAGGTGAGGGGCACTGCCTGACCCTCAACACTGTGGGCTGGATGGACAGGGCATACAATGAGGACATCAGCAGTGCTCAGCAAGCCAACATTATGCATGTTGAGTCCAGTGCCACTCTACCCATTTACAAGGCACTCTAGAGGTGGCAGAGGGGCCACACCATGGATAAATGTAGGCTATTCTGTCCTAGGGCACTTGAAACTGAGGCCATAAATGTAATCTGAGACAAGTACACAGGCAAAAGAAAATCCAAAACCAACAACAAAAAACAGCCTCAAAAAACTAAGGACAGAAAAGCATTGTGTGAACGAAAAAAAAAAAGGACAAAAACAGCTGTTCAGGTAAGAAGCTATTCCTGGACCAAGATCAGGATCTGTTGGGACAAACAGAGGCTCTTGTAAGGAGCCTCAATTGTTGAAGGGTGCTAAATTGCTAAGAGCAAAGGACCTACATAGGCCGAGGAGACTGTATATAGACAAGGGAGTTTAAAATGCCTATTCTGTCTTTAGTTACATCAGGTAGTATTTCAGATACCCAGCTAGTAATTTATCAAACCACCTAAATTAATCTGTCAATGACAGCATCAAGACTTGCAGATAGTAAATCCAAGTGATCTGTGCAGCACTTTATACAAAACCATGTCCTTCGGCAGGGACTGAATCTCACCACAAACACCGAAGTCATGAGACCTGAAGTGTGACAACAACCTGTACCCAAACTTTTTCAGTCTTCTCTTTAAAACCAACAGCTATTTTCTTCTCTATGAAGCACACTACAGAACATAGGCAGATGCTAAACCCAAAATGACCAAAATCTCCTGATAAACTTCCATCCAACACAAGTTTTCTTTCCTACAAAACTATAGTCTCGGCAACAAGAGTATCTAAAGATGAACTAAAAAAAAATCTGCAAATAAAAAAA